TATATAAACAATTTTCTGATTCGCTTTTTTTTTTTTTAGAGCTGTTGCGTAATGTTATTAATTTATTTAGTATCTGTGCCACAAAATGCTCCAAGCACAGATTTAGATTAGATGAATAGAAGCTGATCTGGTTGATCTTTTGCTTTTATGACTTTTCTGATGTTTTTGTTTTTTTCCTAGAGGTGCTCATGGCTGTTTGGAGAGAACTTCGATCCAGGAACCTCCTGGCTCTCTCTTTGTTCTCCTACATCCTGCTCACCCTGGATGTCCACGCACGCCCGGCCAACATGTCGTCCTCTAAGGATAAGTCTGCTGCCACTAAGGACGAGAACGAAATCCTTCCACCAGACCACCTGAACGGATTAAAGATGGAGATGGACGGCCACCTGAACAAGGACTTCCACCAGGAGGTGTTCCTGGGAAAGGAGATGGAGGAGTTTGATGAGGATTCAGAACCAAGGAGGAACCGGAGGAAGCTTATAGAGATTTTTACAAAGTAAGAAACCTTTTCTTTTTGTTTTTCCAGCCTCTAGATAGTCTGGAGTCTCTGCATGTCAGAGCTGGGTGTGATAAGATAGCCAGATGTCATCAGGAACTGAAGGTCCTAGATATTTTAATACTAGAATATAATATTAGATTACAGTTATCCACTATCTTCCCTAAATGGGGGAAATCAGCAGCCAGCTGCAGATGGAAGCACACATATATGCAAACAGATAAACAAAAGTAAAAGTAGGATAAAGGACTAGCAAGGCCGGTTATACAACATTAGTACCTGCAGTACATCTACAGAGAGCTGAACGAACAATTTCCTTTTTATGGGGTAAAGAGTTCATTAAAATTTTTTTTAATTTTTAATTCCGGGTGCTAAAATGGGGGCATAATTTATATCAGTTCAGAAAAACAAAGTAGTTTTATTCTTTGAGTGAGTCATCAGTACTTGTTTACCTTTTAAGCTGTAGGTTTTTTTTGTTGGATGAAAGTTTTGCTACGTTTCCTATTTAATTACATATTCATAGTTAACTTACAAGTAAGGCTGTTTGTTTTTGGGTTTGTTTTGTTTTTTTCTACCAAATCCGATTTAATCATTTTTTTTCACTGTTGAAGTTGTCAAAAACTAGATTTATTTCAATTCTCCCCTCTGGGAGGTGACCTTAATTCAAAGGGCAACAAAAATTAAACCGCGCAACATGCTTGTAAAATAATCATGTTTAGCAACAAACAATTAAAATATAAACACTAAATGTTTGCTGCTGGTGGCTCGTTAATCAGTTATAAGCACACATCTAAGAACATGAAGTGAAGAACTGAACTGATGTCAGTCTGAGCCTTAAAGTCGTAGGGATGTCATATTTAAATTCTAAATCATTCTGGCTTAAACATGTATAAAAATGTACTCTTTATCAGACCATATTGTCCCAAAAGTTTGAAAATTTCTATTTAAAAAAAAAAATCCTGTCTTTAACATCTGTGTTTTTTTCTTGTTTTTTTTTTTCCGTTATCTTATGCAGGCCAGTTAGTTATACGTCAGCTTGTACACCTAAATTCGGCCAATCATATCAACAGTCATCTGTCACTCAAATTTTTTAGGTCATAGCATCTTGATTCGTATGTTGCAGCTAATATACGCAACGGTTGAAATAAGAAATCAGAATCCTTTCCTTTCCCAT